GAATCCGTGTGTGTGTGTGTGTGTGTGTGTGTGTGTGTGTGTGTGACTGAGGATCAAACCCCCCAGGGCACTCTACCTCTTTCCTTCCTTCCTTCCTTCCTTCCTTCCTTCCTTCCTTCCTTCCTTCCTTCCTTCGTTCCTTCTTTCCTGCCTTCCTTTCTTTCTTTCTTTCTTTTCTTCCTTTCTTCCTTTCCTTCTTTCCTTCTTTCTTTCTGGCAGGGTTTCACTAAGCTGTCCAAACTGGTCTTAAAACTTGTGATCCTCTTGCCTCAGCCTCCTGAGTATCTGAGTAGCTGAGATTACAGGCATATACCACCTTGCCTGACTTGATTTTTTAAAGAAGAAATTCAACAAACTAGGAATAGAAAACAATCTAATCAATCTATTGAAGGGCATTTACAAAACAAACAAATACTCTAGTTAAGGCAAGAGTTAATGGTAAAAGACTGAATTATTTGCCATTGATAATTGGAATAAATAATAGAATTTGCTCTCAACACTTCTGTTAAATGCTTTACTTACTCTAAATTCAAACCTATAAAATCAGGCAGAGCAAGAGTGAGAGTGAGAACATTATAGAGATTACCTGATCTTAAATCCTATGGAATTCATAAGTGCATATGCACCTGCACACAGATGTACTACACCTGGTTAATATGTTGAGTAAGGTCACAGGTTACTACATCAGTACAAAAAACCCATTATTTATTAACACCATGCAGTCCAAAGATGAAATTAAGAAAATAATTCCATTCACAATAGTATTAAAAAGAATAAAACTATTTAGGAATAAATTTAACAACAGCATCACAAATTTTGTATACTGAAAAATACAAAATATTATTGTATGGAATTAAAGGAGATGTAAATAAATAGAGATATTTCCAAATTGATCTACAGACTCATCCTGATTACTACAAAAGTTCTAGCTGACTTTTAAAAGAAATTTGATGAAATAATAATAAAATTTATGGGAAATGCAAAAGACTCAGGATAGCCAAAACTGTATTGAAAATAGCAAATTTTGTGGACTTGTATGCTCAAATTTTAAAACTTACTACAAAGCTACAATATTCAACATGGTGTCAACTTTCATAATGAGAGGCATAGAAAAACTGAATAGAATGGAGAGTCTAGAGATAAACCCAAACATTCACAAGCCATTGAATTTGAACAATGGCACAAAGACAATAGAGAAATGACACTCTTCCAAGAAATATTGTTAGATTAATCTGATAGCCACAGTGCAAAAATATGACCTTTATATTTCTAGAGACAAAAACCTTTTAATTGGGCAAAAAAATATTTAAATGGACAAAGGACTATTATCTAGAATACATAAAGAACTAAAAAAAATCAGCCCTCCCAAATATAAAGACCTGATTAAAAAATGGGCATCTGAAATGAACAGACATTTCTCAGACAAAGAAGTAAAAGCAGCAAATAAACCTATGAAAAAATGTTCTGTATCACTGGTCATTTGAGAGATGCAGATGAAAACAACACTGAGATTCCACCTCACCCCACAAAGAATGGCTGCTATCAAGAAATCAACCACTAACAAATGCTGGAAGGATTGTGGGGCGAAAGGAACCCATTTCCATTGTTGGTGGGAGTGCAGACTGGTGCAACCACTGTGGAAATCAATAAGGAGATACCTCAAAGGGCTGGGGTTAGAGGTTCCATTTGACCCAGCCATCTCTCTGCTGGGTATCTTTCCAAAATAATTAAAAGCTTCATATCACAGTGATATATGTGCACCTATGTTTATAGTGGCACAGTTTATAATAGCTAAAACTTGGAAACAGCCCATTTGCCCATCACCTGGAGACTGGATAAAGATGTGGTTTTTCTATAAAATGGAATACTACTCATCCATAAAGAATGAGACATTAGAGTATTTAACAGGAAAATGGATACATATTGAGGATACACTCCTAAGTGAAATAAATAAGCCACACATGATAAATACTGAATAGTTTCTCTGGTGTGAAAACCTATAATAGTATACAAGATCCTAATGGGATAATTAACAATGTGAAATAGGAAGGAAAGGGCTAAAGGTGTAGGGAAAGTGGGAAGGGTAGGGGAAAGCTAATAAGGGAAAAGAAAAAAATATGAGAAAATGAAAAAAATGGAAATAAAGTATTTGTAAAGGGGGAGGGGAGGAGGGGGTGAAGGGAGGGCAGGGACAAGGGGAAAAATGAGAACCAAGACCTGTCATGTAAAGGTACAAGATCCCAATGATGAGTGTAACTGTGTACTGCATACCTAAAATGTACCAATAAACTCAATGAGGAAAAAAAACCTGTATACAAATGTTGATAGCAATGTTATTCATAACAACTAAAATCTGGAAACAACTCAGATGTCTTTTAGTGGGTGAAGAACTAAACAAACTAAAATATATTTATGAAGTGAATACTATGCATAAATAAACCATTGATATATGCAATAACTTGGTTGAGTTTCAAGCTAAGTATTCTAAGTAAAAAAAGGCAATCTCCAAACATTATACCCAGTAAAATTTATCTTGAAATGACCACAATGTAAATAGTAAACACATTAATGTTTCCCAGAAGATGAGGGGGAGATTGTTCAATAGTCTAACAGAAATGATCTTTGGGGTGATATAATTATTCCATATATTGACTTTGGTGGTGGTCATAATACCCTACACTTATAATAAAGTTGCACAGAGTACACACACACACACACACACACACACACACACCACCCACACAAAAATAAGTACATCTGGTTGAAAATCTGAATAAGAGATTGTATCAGCATCGATTTTGTTCTTCTGACAATGTATCATAATTATGTAAGATGTTGCTACTGAGAGATATTGAGGGACCTCTCTATATAATCTTTTACAAGGACAGATGAACCTATTATTGCCTCAAAGCTTAACTTTAAAAATAGGATAAGAAGTTTTAATATAAGTAGTACAATTGGGGCTGGGAGGCCACTCCCTTCATCCACTAAAATTTAAGCAACACTCTAGGGCCAGTGCTCCTTCCATTGTTCTGAGAGAAGTATAAAATACTATAACAAAGATTAAAGCTCCAGATCAGAGCACTTGGTTGTTAGATCTTGTGGCCTGACCTTCAGTAACCTTTTCCCCATTAGAATTTCCTTAAAGGTTCATGCACTTGTACTACATCTCAAATTTAACCAGAATGAACTCTGGGATAGTTCTGCATGCCCGAAGCTGGTGACATGGCTCAACAACCTGTCAACCATTCCTGTCAATCTCACCCAGAGTCTCAAGGAGATGTACTGGGACTGGGGTACACATCTTTTACAATCTGAAAGCCTGATTTTTCTGTACATGTTTCTTATTTCACTGTTACACTGATACCACTTTTTTGTTCATGCCACCTGCTTTGTTTCTGCTGGCACAGGTCTGCCCTGAGTATATCTTCCCATTATTTTCAATAAATGTAGCTCATTTACCTTTTACCATTGGATGTACACTTTTAATTTTTTGCCCATTGTACACTTGAGCCTGGAATCTAGAAGATCCACAAAACAGTTTGAGTAGATATTTCCTCAAGAGGGTATACAAATGGGCAATGGGCACAAAAAGGATGCTCAACAACAATAGTCATAAATTAGTAGATTTATGTAAAATAAATCTACAATGCACACTTGCAAGAATAGCTATAATCAAGAACACAAATGACAACAAATGTTAAAAGAAGTGTGGAGCAAATCGAACTTTCATACAGTGATTGTGAGAATGTAAACTGATAGAGTCATTTTGGACAAATAGTTTTGCAACTTCTTAAAAGTTGAACATAGTCTTAACAGAAACACAGAGATACATGGCTGGTGCTGCAGCTTAATGTTAGAATACCTGCTTTGCTTGTGTGAGGCCATGGGTTGAATCCCCACTACAGGGGAGGGAGAGAGAAGAAGGGAGAGGAGAGATGAGGCGAGGGAGAGGAGGGGAACCGAGAAAACAGATTAGTGGTTACCTAGGGTTGATGGTAAGAATGGGAAATGAATGAAAATGGGACGGTCTTTTAGTGTGATAGAAAAGGTCTAAAATTAGTTTGTACTGATACTTGCATAAGTGTGTAAATTTATCAAAATCATTGACTTGTACATTTTAATTAAATTAATTAAAGTATTATTGAAATGTTATAATTCTTTACAGCTGTTTCAAGGTTGTGACCCTCTCAGATTATTAAACTTGTGTCCTTGTGCCTCACTGTCTCCAATAATTAGGAAAATTGCCCCATTTTAGCAAACAGATAGGATGTTACATGGCCTGTTTTCTTCTCTATCCATCCTCATTTTACTATTCTCAATGCTAAAGTATCATTTAGAAATCATGGTGTTTCTTGTGCTTACTGACAACAGGTAGATGAAATTATTTTCTCTGCTTGTTGAATTTCAAATTTTCTACAGTTCAGCAAAACAAATTAACTTTGCAATCACCTATGCCTTTTCAGCACGATGTATATGTATGAAAATTGATGAGCTGATTTGACTATATTGTATGTTTGTCCAAATATATCACTTGTCTAAATTTTGTCCTTTCAACTTCTGCCTAAATGTCCAGAGCTTCTTTCCATTTTGACAGAATTTCTACCTCCCCCTCTCCCCTCCTTCCATAAATACTACACAGTAGTAGTAATAGAAAGTTCCTTTTTAAAAGTAAAATGTTAATAAAAATGCTTAGCCTGTCTGGGTTGTGGCAAAGTTCTAAGGCAAAAGTCTCATAAAGTGTAATACTGAACAAACAAGGAATTGATACTCATATATCTTGAGATATTCGGGGCAAAGTTCTAAACTCATTTATAAAATATGCTTTCCTTCAACCGCCTGCACCGAGTGTAATAATACCACATTTTAGTTAACAGGAACTAAAATTAAAGGGCACACCCCTTGGATACAGTATTAAAATCAGCACCTTCAGACCGGACCTCGATAATTCCCTGGAGTTCACCTCTAAGGGCCCCCTCCCCTTGGAGCCGCGCAAGCGTACAGAGAATTTGCTCCTCTCTCCCTCTTGCTCCCGCCTCTAACATAACCCCCTCAGTCTGCCTAAGACGCAGGCGCATCTCTTAAAGCCTGGTCCGTACCCACCTCTCCTTTCTCTTTATTTCGTTCTCCCTCCTCTTCTTGCACCTCCGCAGGTTCAAACTCTTGTTGGGGAGAGTGGCGGCGATCGCGAGGTCACGTGATGAGCATCCTGCTGCCCAACATGGCGGAGTTCGACACCATCTCGGAACTGGAGGAGGAGGAAGAAGCAGCAACGTCGTCGTCGCCGCCGTCGTCGTCGTCGTCGGTATCTGGGCCGGACGATGACGAGGAAGATGAGGAGGAGGAGGAAGAGGAGGAGGAGGAGGACGAAGAAGAAGGGATAGAGGAGGAGGCGCCGCCCCCACCTCGGGTAGTGAGCGAGGAGCATCTGCGGAGATATGCCCCCGACCCTGTATTGGTGCGGGGCGCAGGTCATATCACTGTGTAAGTGAGAGGGGGCCGTGGGGTTTGCAAAGGCAAAGATTTGGCTACAGGGAAAATAAGGGAGGGGGGCTGTGGAGTGGGGGAAGGGTGGTTGAGGCGTGCAGTGAGGAAAGGGCACCTGGTCTAAATGGAGAAACCGAGAGTGAGGAGGTGTGCAAGAAGTGAGGAGAATGTGTTAATGTACCAAATGCAGGTTTAGAGTAGGAAAAGGACGGGGAAGTTAGGGGTTTGAGAATCAGAGGCACTGGGGTGGGGGGTGAGTCTCCTTTTTTTTGTATGTATGTTGGCAAGAATAGTCTCTAAACTGCAGGATGTACGAAAGGATTCTTTGCTATCAAGATTAGTGTCTAGTGGAAAACAGCGACTGCTGTAACATGTGACAAGAACTAGGTTTGGGTTCTTCAAAACAGATATGTTTTGTGAATGTTATAAATATCTATACACCCATTTATTCATCCATCCAGTCTTCCTATCTAATAATCTTTATATGAATGAATACAATCATCCTTTCCCTGTTTAGAGTACCACTCACTGTGACGTTCCTTAAATATTATACCATTAAAGGTTCATATTGATAAGTACTGTAGCTTCAGGGGCATTAGTCAATGTTGCTTCTTTCTTGCCCTGTGACCTTGGTGGGTTGCTTCCTATTTCTGGGCCCTGGTTTCTCCATCTGTAAAATGAAGGTTTGAAGAAAATTTTTAAAAATGCAATTGGTATATGTTTTCGATACATAATAATTATATTCATCTTGGAAAACTGGTACATATACATGATTTCTAAAACCTTTCAGCTGTGAGATAATTTAACATACTTCTAGGGGATTATGTGTGCCCAAATACCAAATTTACAAAAATTAAATGTATATGGAAATTAGTTTTCCAGGAGCTGAGAATGATTTTTTTTGAAAATTTATCCAGGGTAGCTTTTGTTTTTTTTAAACAAATTGAAATCTTGGATCACATTTAAGAAAATAAAATGGTGGGGGGCACTTCATAAGATTGGTTGCAAAGGAAGAAGAAAAAAATTGGTATTTCTCTCGTCTTCAAAGAACACGTCCTTGTTTTTATTTGCTTGAATTATAAATATTTGGAAGTTTGAGTATTCTGTTATGGTCATTCTCTTAACTGTACTTTACTGCACTTTCAAAGTAGGCCTGTTCTTTCTTATTGTCTATAATTTTGATTATGGCTCACTATAACCTTTGACTTTCAGTTGAGTTTATATTGTATGAAACCATTTAGTATGTACTACGTGCTCCATCATATTAGCTTTTAATTTTTTTAATATGTCGAGTATTTTGACTCTAATACACTTTTGTAATCTTTGCATAAAATGTATTAACAAAGATTTTGAAATTTTAGAAGGACTTAGGGCGGCGTTTTAGACCTGCTTTTTGATTAGTCAATTTTAACAAAATCTTCCTTTGTCCAAGAATTTTGTAGATAGGCTACAATGTTCAGATGCCAGATTACCATGCTGTTTTACATCTAGCCCTTTAGATAGGGGGAGGCAAGTTATTACTCAAACTACTGTAATTGATTCTCCAAGGAAGGATCCTTTCATGCAGATTATTTTACATAATTAGAGCAAAGGTATCTTATTCCAGCCCATAATTTTATTCTCCAGCATTCCAACTCCACCTAATATTTTATAAAATTCAGACAGTAGGGAAGGAGCAAGGAAACAGAATTTAAGTTCCCTGAAACTTATTCGGGGTTCCATTCAACTCTCCATACAATTTACCAACTTATTTTCTCATTAAAAACGGAACACTGACAGTTGGCATGCCCAGGCCCTTATTAGAGGTGTAATGTCCTTCCTAGTGTTAGAATTCTGAAGTGGCAGTACCCGTGGTAACTGTTAGTTTAACTGAAGCCAAAACTGTAAAAGCACCAGGCAGTTCTTGGATGAGCAGACAATGTATAAAGTTTAGAAACTTACTTAATTTTATTGTACATATTCTTTCACCTAGAAAACACATTTGATATTAAATGTGTGGAATTTGAAGAAAAGGTTAAAAATTTAGATGCCCGGGACTTAGCTCAATGGCACCCCACCTGCCTTGCAAGTGCAAGGTCCTGATTTCGATCCCTACTAAGCAAAAGAAGAAAAGAAAAAACAAAGATTAAAATGTTTTGCTGAATCTGAGAAATGGGCTATGGTAGTAAAGCCTTCCTTAAATCGGGTGAAGTAATATTCTTAGGAAATCTCCAGCACTGCAAACATAACAGCAGCAACAACAACAATATATCAACTTCTGTTTAATTTTTTCTGGCATATGAGTGTGTGAGTTTCCCTAAACTATATGCCCTATCTGTTTTCACTTGTTTTTCAGTGATGCTGGAGAATGAAACTAGGGCCTTGCATGTGCTAGGGAAGCACTCTATCACTGAGCTACATCCAGCCCTAACCCTATCTGAATGAAATATTGTTTCTCATCCTCTCTCAACCCCGATTTTTTTCTATTCTCTGTTCAGTGTTTATTCTGTAGACGGCTTCAATTTTTGTCAGTTTAAAATGTGAGAGCCATGATCAGTTGTCGTATCCATTTCAGAAGGCTCAAAGAAAATATTTTTAAGGTTTTTACTATGAAGAAGTGATAGATGTTTCAGGTGATAAATATGTTTAACCTGATTCAAAGTCCGTATATCTTAAACTCAACATGGTTTTCCTTTCTACAATGGCTGTGTTTGTACTTGCTCTGTTTCTGACCCTTGTACCACCATTCCAATTAATATTTAAAATCGTTGAATTATTTTAACTCTTCCTTCTCCTTGAATTACCGTATGTCCATTTTTCCTAGGGCTGTGTCATCCTATCTTTTGAAATGAGCTTTTTTTTTTTTCATTTTCTTCATTCCTATTGGTACCATTCTGCTTTAGGTTGCCATCATCTTCTGCTTGAATTATTGTTGTTTTGTTGCCTCTCCCTACTCCTGTCTATCCTGTATGCTTGTGCTAAACTGATTTTCTTAAAATATAGTTAAATCATGTCACTTTCCTGCTGCTAAGCTGCACTGGATCTTTATTAAATCTAAATTTCTATACTGCCTTCCTCAGCATAGGAACTCCTCAGAGTTCAAGGAGTCCCTCCACTCATCCAAAGCTCCTTTTGTATCTTCCACACCCTTCTCTTCCAGCATCCTCATAGATCTTGCCCTTTTCTCTCCAATATTACCTCTCGCTACCTTTTGACTAGCTCATACTATAAATGTATTCAATCTTTCTGATTTGTAAAAATGAAATGACAAAAAGCCTTCCAATACCCACATTCCCTTTAGCTATTGTCTAATTTCTTTTCCTTGTCTTCAAAATTTTGTAAGAGTAGCTATGCTAACTATATTTATTTCCTCTGATCTAGATTCTTCAACCTCAGCCATAGAGGACTTGACCTCAGTTTAAGACACCATTATCCTCTTCTTTGCTAAGTCAATGGATATTTTTCATCCCCTATCTTTCTGTCCTCCCTGCTGCATTTGACACAACTCCCTTTGTTTGAAGACTTCTACTCTAGGGATCACAGACATACAGACCTTCAGAAGTAAGTAAGACAAATCACAGAAGATGGTACAGCCTAAATAGTAATGGGACCTTAGTTGAACTGGAAGGTATATGTCTTACCTAAAGATGTTCAAATTCTGATTAGAAGAAAATACTTTGCCAGCAAAAAACTTTAATCTCCTGATTCTCCTTGTACTTCTCAGATTATTTCTAAACCATCTCATTCAATGGGCTCGTCTTCCTTTCTTGCCTCTTGAATACCAGCGATCTCCAGAGTTTTATGCTCTATTCTTTTTATTCTTTCCTCTCCCTAGATAGTCTCATCTCATGGTTTCAATTATCTGATATCTCCCAAATGTATATCTCTGTAGCAGATTCCGCTTGGCCTTTTACTTGAGCCTTTTCACTTTATGGCCCACTGTCACCTTAAATTTAATGTATTTAAACAGAACTCAGCCTCGTGTCCTACTGTTTGTATCCCCAAAATCTGAGAAATGCCTTTTAAATTTATATTCTCCATCTCAGTTGGATGTACCTCTATCCACCCTATTATCCAACCGTGGTTCTTCTTCCCACTCGCACTTCTCACAGTTAAGAAGTCAGCAGATATTAAAAATATGACTTATAATTGCCTCTTTTCCTCCCATCGCTTCCTTTATTTAAGCCCCTTTCAGCACCCTGACTAGTTGTTTTACCTTCATTCTAACTACTCTTGGATTCATCCTCCTGCCTGCTGTGAGAGTAAGATACCAAAAAACCAAACTACTTTACTACTTAAGATTATTCTGTAGTTTTTACTTCACCCCCAGGTGATAGTCTAAGCATATAGGAATGGACCCTGCTCAGTCCCTGCCATTTTCTGTGTTTGCTGTTTCTTACCTTACTGCTTGTCTTCAAACTGGGGTCTCCACCTAAAACTGCGTCCAGGACTAGGGATGTCATTCAGTGGCACTGTGCCTGCCTGGCAAGCAAGAGGCCCTGAGTTTAATTCCTGGTACCAAAAATAAATAAATAAATAAATAAATAAATAAAATAAAACTGGGGCCAATATCCACCTCCCCTTATCCTAGCTTTCCATATATGACCACCTCCTACAAGTCTTTGTCCACATTAAATGTAAATTAATTTGTAAATTGTAAGCTGTGATAGCAAGAACAATTTCTCATGCCCTCTGAATCCTCAGTACCTTGCACAATACATGGCATGAAGTGAGTTGAATAAATATTGGTTCACTTTAGTAACAACATGCCCATTGTAGCTAAAACTATACCATAGGTATTACTTAACTGAGTCATGATGTGGAGAGGGCTTCAGAGCAGAGATATATATGGATAAACATTGTCATCAGTTTTACTGGTGGGATTTATGGCATGACCTTACATCTGATAGTGTTAAGCTGGCCCCTGTGTATACCCTATCTACTTGTATGTATCATCTTAATATTTTGACTTTGTAGTTACTTTAACAAGGTATTGATCTTTTAACGTGCAATTAATT